AAGAGAAAAAACCTCTGACACGTTGAAAGTCTGATTTAATTAAATTGCACTTTAACTTGGTGCCGCGCAGTCTTCAAAGAACATTTGAACAGTTTTTGTACTTTTTACCTTTAAAATTATTGGACTGAAATGGAAGTCATCAAATAAAACTATTAAACTGCTACTGCAGAGACGTAAAACCCGTCCAGAAATGAAAGCTTCTTCTTTGTTTAATGTCCTGGAAACAATAGCTGATAACTTGTCAGCTCTAATTGAATTTACTCCTATATAAAAAGCGAAAGTGTTAAGTTACCATTTGTTACTAAAGATAGCAAACATCTCGTGGGAATGAGTGGTGACGATTCATCCGCTCTGATTGAATTTACTCCCTTGTGAAAAACAAGAGTGTCAAATTACACTTTGTAACTAAAAAACAAAAATATCTCGTTATATTTGCATGCAACAAGAACAAAATAATTGTTACCCGCACTTACTATTGTAAACTGTTTCAAATCTAAAGTCTCGTCCCCTCTAAAACATGTCCTAAGAACTAGAAGGGACGATTCGTGATCTCTAATTGAATTTACTCCTTGTGAAAAACAAAAGTATAAAGTTACCTTTGTAACTAAAGATAAAAATGTCTTGTTGCATTTGCATACTAGTAACTCACAAACTGTTTCAAACTTCAAGGCTCATCTTGTTCATTTAACTAAAATCCTCAGCCTAACCCATAGAAAATGTCGAAGTAAACCCAAGATATGAATACTTCCTCCTCTTTTATAGAAAAATGAATATGGTTGTTCTGAACTTTATCGGGATCAAATCTTCTCACATACCATTTACCTTTACAACAAGAAATTTGATTGGCTGTTTATAGTAGATCCAATCTGATTGGCGTGACATACGTACATCTCTCACTCACTCACTCATCCATTGACCCGTCCAAAACATACCCGACGCGCCGACTAAGAGGTATTTTTTTTACAAAAAATAACTCCATAAAATGTTATTTGAGGTTTTACGATCAAAGTGTGGTGTCGCATGTTTACAAGTGTGAATAAAAAGTTAGTCAAGATTTCATGTGTAAAGCGAGCGTTCACAAGTTTAAATAAATAAGTTATTCGAATGTGAAGGGAAGTGATTTAAGATCAAAGCGTGGTTTCGTGTGTTCACAACCTTTGAATAAAAAGTTAATCGAGGCGTCATGTGCTAAGCATGTGTTCACAAGTTTGAATATTAAGTTATTCAAGGAATCACTTAGCGTTGTTTCACAGGTCACAATCTTTGAATAAAAAGTTAGTCAAGTTTCCCGACAAATCAGTCGGGAGCGATAGTTGACAAAACATAGGCGGTGCTGCTGTGTTGACTTAGTAGAGACCTTAAGTAAACACTTAAGGCAGTTAGGTGGAGGGGCGATGGCCATGCGGGAGTTGGGTTGAGACTGCCTCCTCTTGGCACAAAATTAGAATATTAAGCTTTTGTAAAAGTGGTGGCAAGCAACAGCTGTTTTGCTTTCGTTTTCAGTGGTCCAATTTGACTTTGTTCATGGATTTTATGGGCATAATGGCAACTTTTCGAGAAGTCCGAGACCTTCTAGCTGTTGCATGGTTTGAGGACATCATAGACGAGGATGAATTTCTATTGTTGAGGGATCTACACACGTTGAAAAATCCTGACTTTCCTTACGAAGACTGAATCGGCCTTTTCTTTACTAGTGCAACCAAGATCACTGGCCTCTGCCTCTTCCCATTTTTCTGATATTTCTTCCATCAGAATATCCATCTCGCTATCTTTGATGTCAGCTCCACTCGGTTTCGCCTGATGTTTTTGTTTCGCCTTGAATTTGTCCAGTAGTAGTTTGAAATGTTTCTGTACGTTTTTCTTCTTCACCTGAAACTTCACGGGGGTTTCGTCATTCAGACGATCCGTGATGGCATTCCATACTTTTCCTCGATCTACAGTCCTTGGTTTGGAGATCCATGGTTCTGAAGCTCTGACTTCCTTCGCTAGGATCAAATCATGTGCTTCTGTCCATTCCATGATCGAGCTAGACGAGAGAAAACAAAAGCTTATTAAAAACAGGTTCTGTCTATCAATTCACCTTTCGGAAATATTCCAAAGTTATAGAGACAAATTGGAAGAACAAAATAGCATTTTGTACCAGCAAGTACTTGCAATCTAAAGTTTTAAAGTC